TTACTACACCAGGTTTTAGGTTTCCGCTGCAAACCATTAGTGGAGCTGGAATCAGTACAGGCACTTTAACTGTCCTCTTCGTGCACCATTAGCAAGGGAAAACATTTAAACAACTGACATCAGACTGCATTTACATTTCAAATTCAATCGCTAGGACCCTCGCAACAGAGAGACTCGGAACATAAAACGCAGGTTCGGGCTGAGTCGGCCCTGCGCTTGCTTAAAGCCCCTGGAAGGGACTCCAGGGCCATCCGAGTCGCTCTTTTTTTTTTTCTTCTTCTTCTTTTAAATACAATCTGATTTTGCCTGTAGCAGCATTTATAAGAGAAGAGTTTTCTGTAGAGTTTTGAATGTCTCAAAAGACAAGACTTAACAGGAAACAGGGAGGAAAGCCTAGGGCGACTACTTAACTAATACAGGCATCACTACGCTTTTTCCACAACTCGTGCAGTCGTTTCAAGATAAAATTCCCCGTCAAAAATAAACTGATGGATTCAAAAGGTAACAGAGGAAAAAAGCAAGATTTATGGCGAAATAGCTAAAGCAAATCATGCGGTTCTCCATGTTTTTCCACATCTAACGCTTCCAATCGCACTTTCACTGAAAATAGCTTTTTCACCGAAAAGCTGGTTTAGGGGAGCACAGTAAAGAAAAGTTCAAGTTTAAATATTTCCACCAAATGAGTTTCTGTTCCAGGCTTTGGCAGAGCAGAGCAGCTGCTAATGGTTTCAGACTGCCACAAAGAGTTCAATACACACACACACACACTCAGAGGAAAAAAAAAAATTAAAAAAAATATCAGAAACAAGCTAATTTCACAGCACAGTGGAGCCCACTTAAACAACTAACTGCTTAGTGTATAAGATTTATAAACACACAAGTTCAGTCTAGCAAAGGCTGAAATACATTTGCAGATGAAGCTGCTCACTGCATAAGCTTCTTGAAAGCAATCCTCTGAGCAGAAACTCTGGATCTTTAATAGCTTCCTAGTGTGCTAAAGCTTATGTCACGCATCAAAGTACTGCACATACTATTGTCTGTGCAGGGGAAAGTTTTCAAAATAAGGGCCCATTCCTCTTGTAACCGAAATAAATGAGGGGAAAAATAATTAACGTCATCGGGACAGAATGAGATCACTACATTTACTCAGCCCAAGCAATAAGGGCATTTTAAGCAAAATATTTTTAAAAGTGTTTTCCACTTCTGGACTAGCATAGACATTATCTAATAACTTCTTCCAGGAAAACGATGATCTAATATTCATAGAAAAAAAACACCCTCTGATTAAAATGCAAAATGCAGCACAAACTTACCTGCGTCTGCAGGGTCCTGCTGCCCTTGAGGCTAAAGGTAAATTCCTTATAGCAGGAGAAGCATTTAAGCAAGGTAAAATGAGAGATTTCAAACGAGCAACTGAAAACCCTGTGCTGGGGTTCAACATCTTAAAATCCATCTAGTTAAAATAGTCTGCAACACAGATGCACTCACCCTGGCTTAAATCTCATGTATGCTGGTTTCTCTTTATTCAATTACCTCGAGTTAAGCCAGTTTAAATACATCTGCATTGAGGATCTGCAGTGGCATAACAAGAGAAACTTAAAAACAGTATTTAGATCTCAATTTTCAAATGTAGATGAGGCTTCAGATGCAAGAAACAAGTTCATGTGTGGGCAGAATTTGACGTTATGTAGTTGAGATAGCTACTTCTGTGAAATATATTGTAAAGACTTAGTTTGGGAAAAGCAGTTTAGATTTCATATAAACACAGCCAACATGGCTGCATGATGTTCTTCCCCATCAAGTAATGTTATTAAGTAGGCGCATACTGCACCGTACCTTCCACAACATCCCTCTTGTAGTCGCTGTCGTTGTCACTGTCCGTTGGCCGATAATAGATATAAAATCCTTGAATGGGTGTGTTGTTGTTACTCGAAGTAATATACTAAAAGAGAATTGAAAGAGACTGCATTAGAGAAGGAAAAATTAAATCAAATACTCCAGAGCGATCACCACTGACTAAACGCTTCGAAAGTTTTTTTTTTTTTTCCCCATGCACTAAGACTATTTTCAAGAAGCAACAACTTGTGTGATAGCCCACAGCAGTTGAAAAATCACGACCTGCATGCACTGTGGTTACGCTCTCACAAATTGCTCACAACTATATGAAGGTTACACCGCTTTGACTGACAATTCTTCCTTGCTGCAGAGATGAACCAGACACATTGAACAGCGCTGCTGCTATTTTTGTGGAAAAATAAGTCCCTCAACTCACTAAAAATTTTGCAGATTTCATCTAAACAGCCTTCCAAATGAAAACGGTCTTTTGAGAGTTGAAAATGGGAGGATCCAAAGCAGAAGAATTAAACTTGATTTGATGGAGGATTAAGCCTTTGAAAAGCCCAACTGAGCACGCGCCACAGACGCGCAACAACACGTAGGAGGAAGGTATGCAGTGAAGTCACCGCGCAAAAAAGGGACTATCCGTCGCTGCGGATGCGTAGCTATACCTAAGACCGGCACAAAGCTGAAGAGGATGAAGGAGGATTCTTACGGGCTTGCAGTGCAAGAGAGGAACTCTGGCACCGCGCTCCTCAGACCAGCTGAAGCACTGGCACATAACACCGTCCTCCCATCTCGCTTTCAAAACAGTCAATTAGGGTTTGACCATTAATGGCATGGAAATTAGCATGAAAAACAGTAACAGAAAAGTTGTAAGAGTATTTTTACTTCAGGAAGAGTTACGGTCGTTCTAAAATTCAGCTCAGAATATTTTACTGTAAGTTATGCAGCCTCCTGAGGAACTAGAGGTTATTTTAAGTTTATTATCCTTAACATCTCTTAGGGCTGAGCTAGTAGAGCAAACTAACACTGGGAACTCTACACGTTTAATCCTCCAAAGTATACTAGGGGTTTAGATTTCAAAACAAGAGCAAAGAATTTCTGCGGGTTTCAATAAGGACTTTAAAGTACTTGTTTACAAAAGACAAGGTACCAGAGGAAAGGAAAACGTTTCTCTAACACGAAACTTCTACCAGATGCAATGGAAGACGACAGGTTTCTAAACGCAGCAGCGGTTCCAGCCAGAGCCGCCTGGGCTGACCCAAGCGGCACAAACTACAGCAAGACGACGCCAACTTGCTCACAACTCATGGCATTAGCAGTCTGCACAGAGTTAAGCCCACTGGTGCCTCTTGATACGTTTGTGCCAAACCAAGCAGGCTAAGGAGGCTGCAGCCTTTCACTGCAGCTGCCAAGTGAGCTTATATCTGGTCTAACCTTAAGCGCACTCAGAGGAGCCCAGCACCTCCAAGCTGCCGCGTGGCAGCCAAGGCGAGCGGCGTAGAGGGCAGCCTCTGCAAAGGGAGGCTGGGTGGCAGCGCTGAGGGGCGAGGAAGCAGCTGGCAGGAGCCTCTGAAAGGGGAAAAAGGGCTTGGAAGTGGGAAGCAAAGGGCTTGAGAGGCACGTGGTCCAGTAAGTTATCTGATTTTACAGTACAAGAATGAAGCGTCCCAGTCCTCTTCTGGGAAGAGGATCACCTCCGTGTCTCGAGGGGAAAAAAAACCCACCACTCACTATGCTGCAATTACCTAGCTCTTAATCCTCGACTTTTAAGGGCTTTGTATTGGCCAAAGCAGTAAAAACTGGCTCACAACTGTGAAAAGAACAGAAGACTTTCATACTTACAGTCCATTTTAACATGATCTGAGTGTCGCTGATGGCTTCAGTATAAGCAATGTGAGGTCCTGCGATAGGGCGGTTGGAAAACCGGCTGGTAAAACCAGCTACTTGGTAAGGCCGAGATGCTGCACTTCGGGGGCTCTCCCCATAATTGTTCACAGCAATCACACGGAACTTATACATTTCTCCTTTTAAGGGAAAAAAGTGAAAGAAAGAAGGAGTTACAGCAAAACAAGCACTAGAAACAGGATTCAAGGAGAGACTAAACAGATTAGGAAGTACTTTTTGCACAACATCCAGTTAGAAAAAAATATGTAGGACTCATTGCCACAGACTGATGTGGACATCAGAAATATAAACAGCTTGCAAGAGTGATGAGGGAAATTCACTGAAGACAAAAATCCAAAGACACACGGAGACAGAGATGCCGCCATCAGCTCAGGAAGCCCCTAAACTGCAAACTGGGGAGCACCGAGAAGATACACGGGACACCTATCACCATCCATTACCCCTATTCTTACGCTCTGTCCCTGTGCTGGAAACGCTGGAAGAGACAAGAAACCAGGAGAAACATCTTTTCTTTAATACAGTCTTCTGTTTTTATGTTCCGAGTGCTTACTAGCATGATAGTTAAGTTCAAAACAGCCATAATACATAACCTTCATCTCCATGTGACAAAGTGTTGCATTATGGCATCTCCTTTCACTTGGAAAGCTAAGAAAGCAGCACAAACTTGGGTAATGAACTCCTATCCCACAGCAGAACAAGAACAAGATAATCCAAGCACAAGTTAAATTGAAACGATCAAAAGTCTGAAGAATTCTCTCAGCAGGAACACAGTCATCTAAGCATAGAAAATGGCACCGACAGCTGAAGGAAAGGAAAGATCCTTTTGTAATACCTGGCTCCAAGTGACGAACTTCCACGGACAGTTTAGAAGGCGAAATGTTATCAGCTGCAATTAGCCAGTCACTGTTTCGGCCCAGGCGTTTATATTCTACTTTAAAGGCAGTAATGGGGGAGCCACCATTTGCTCGTGGTATCCAAGTGACGTAGACGGATGACTCTGATGCTGTGGAGATAGTAGGTCGATCGGGAGCTTCCGGAACTGGAATGAGAAATTCGGTTACAGGGGGATTAGAGCCATGTGAAGCTCCACTGTAGTGCAGAAATGGATTAAACTAGATGTTGATGTTGAATTGGACTTCATGTATTAACAGGGAGGACCTTTAAATCCTCCTTTAATCACTGCTCCCTTTACTCTCCAGGAAAAGGTGTACGACATTCCTAGTCAAAAGGAATGACAGTACTTGTTTCTATGTTGATATTTTAGTTATTGGCCAAAAGAAATTAAACTACAAGGTCACAGAAAATACCCTTGAAGAGCAGGACTTCATCACAAAACATTTACTTTATCAGCAAAATAATCAAAAAAAAAAGATATGGCAGTACACTACCCCAACCCATCTGTACATGGAATGCAAACATACACTAAACGAATGGGAACAATTTGGGTATATTAAAAAAAAGAAAACTGAAATTCCTACAGATCCAATGAGGCTTTCATCCATACACACTAATGAGCACTCTATGCCAAAAATACCATTGGGGAGAAACAAGAACAAAGAGCAAACAAAGCATGCAACAAGTGATATACTTACTGAACTCACTGGAAGGTACAGACAGCAGTGGAATAGAGAGAACGGAAAGAGGTGGTGTTAGTAAATCCAGTTATAACCATTCTGACTGATGAGAGCTGACAGGTTTTACTACACTGGCTCGTGTTCGTTAACACGGAGCATGCCACTGATGGAAACAGAACTGAGTAAGGACCAAGAAGGTGACAGCTTTGGGGGCGTTAAGCAGCCTGAGCTGTTTGCAGCTGGGCACACACACTGTCCCCCTGCGTGGCTCCTCTGGTATTTGGCAACGCCAGGAGTACACAGTGCTCCGCTCCCTCACCTGGTGATAGATAAGCCTCTCCGTTCAACTTCCGCTTTACCCAAACTTTAGATACCAAATCACCTTTGAGGTCTCTGCCCTTGAATAAATTTGCCTGGGTCAGGCTGATGGGTTCAAAGGTTGGGGTGAGGAGAAAAAGGACTATAAACATCCTGTTTTCACTGGAAGGCAGGCTAAAAGTCACACCTCTCTGGAAGTGGCTGCATCTCCTTGTAAAAAGAAATAAGCCTGTCCCCGGAAGCCCCAGAAAAACATGATCAGAACAGATATAATTCACTTTTAGAGCTCAGTACTTTGAATATGGGCTTCACCTCTGGCTCTTCCTCTAGATTCTACTTGCACAGTGCAAGAGAAGAACAAAACAGTATTTAGGGAAAAAAGTAACTGCAGGTTTAAAAATTAGCAGAGGAACGTGGGATACACATGAAAGACTACTTTTATCTCATATTTGAGAACCAAATACAAAGGCAACAATATCTTCTGTGTTCACTATTTGCTAAACCCAGAGCTTCAAATATCTCACCATAAGAGCTAAATTCTGGAGGAGATGCATTACCTGGTAAGTTAAAGTTGCCGTAGAAACATCAGTGAGGTAATGCAGGTGGCTGCTTAAAATGCTAACTCACTGCCTGGAATAAACTAACCTTTCAGTTAATCCCACAAACTATGGTCTTTTACTCTGGAAACACATATTAGAACAGAAACTCTGGTAGGTGGAAGTTGCTAATATCTGACCTCATTCCCAGAAGTCTCACAAGAGGAAAAAAACCCACCCATCTGTATCAAAGAGTCCTAAGGAATAAATAGGAAATAAAGTAGATAATGCAAACATACAGAATAGTAATAAACGCTTTGGAAGTTAAACTCAGATGCATCTCGGTTTGCACTGTAACTTTCAACACATGGATTACAAACAATCCATACACCTACCTCCGCTGTGCCGAGACAGATCTGGAAGGACGACCCCAAAATTATTTGTCCCTTCATGAATGACGGGATGTTTAGGAATGCCTACTGGTGGAGATGGAGCCTGAGTGTTTTTCGAGGATGATGTTCTTTCTAAGAAATGTTTGATATACAGTAAATAAACTCAGCGACTGGAGAAGAAAATGATATTCATTGCCTCTTACAATAGGCTCACGCTCCACAGGATCGCTAGCTACAGGGTAGAGGACTAAAGCCCTGGCTCCAAATCACAACTGAACAGGCAGGATAGCAATTTCTTAGGGAGTTTCTTCAGGGGAGCAAGAGAAGAGACTTTTCCCTTCAGCCCAGGGATTCCCGCAGCGCGGATCAGCTACTGTCAGCGACTGCTCGTCCGTGGTACCAACACCTACGGCAACGTGCCTTGCTTTGTCAGCCTTTGCCAACTCCTGCCTGGGTTTCAAAGCCCGCTCTCACCACAAAAATCACAACGTGTAATGCAAATTGTACATTGAAATCAGTGCCGAACGGAAGAGGCTCAATGAAAATACTATGGAAGCTGCTTTTGACCCAGCGGGACCAAGGATATTGGGCTGAATGGGCTTTTGGCCTGTACCCGTGCAGCCATTTGTAGGTTCTGCAAATTCGTGGATTTTGCAAACACGTTATATTTTTAATGAAGTTTTAAACTATGTGGCTCTTGTATAGAAGTATGAAGAATTTCTGATTATCTGTATGAATAACTGCAGGAATATAGCCACCAGCTTCTAAGCTGGAATGGGGAAAAAAAAAAAAAAAAAAACAGTGGGAAATTTTGTCGTTCTCCGCACACAAGTATCAAAATAACTGGCTTCTGGTCAAAAACCACTGAGGGCTTTTTAGCGAAGCTTCTGCAAATCAAACCAGAAGAAGTTTTGTTCATTCAGATATGAAAACACAAAAAAGGCTCATCGTTTCAGAGAGTTTCTTTTGTGGTACTCAAAAAATTGAGCAAGTACAGGCTGCCCCCGACCATGACTTGGCTCCTTTAAAGCAAAGGAAACTTTACAAGTCTGAACAATTACCCCCAAAATACTACTGTCAAGCATTTAATGGCTTTTACTTACTAACAGATCTGGTATCGCTCAGTAAAGTTTGCTCTACACGTATCTTAGCTATTAGAGGCTGTTCTTGAGCAACTAAACGGCAGAGCATTTCATAAATGGGTTAACAGACAACATACGGCTGATGCAATTTAAATAAATGTCCTCTCAAAAGCCTGGGACACAGGGAACCTTGTGCTGCACCTACCTTTGCTAGTGCGAAACGTCAGCATAGCAGGCTGGCCTTCGCCAGCAGCGCTCCTCGCCACCATTAAAACTTCATACAGGCTCGACGGCTCCAGCTCCGTGAGCCGGAGCTCGTTCTCGCTGCCAGGGACACGCACCGTATGCCAGCTTCCCACCGCGCTGACGCCGTCGTCCAGCTGCACGCAACAAGCACAGCACATGCGGACAAACCTCAGGGTCAACAGTGAATTAGATAAAACCCAACGTAATACTTAAATCCCTAATCCCTTTAGAACACAAAAGCATCCACAGGACCATTGCAGCTGGCTGAAATTCCCCATTTCTTCCTGTATTTAGCTATGGCCCGTCCTTTGTTCGGTGCCATCTCCAAGCACTTTTGCAACAAAGCTGAACGTCAACAAACTTCTTCTAAACGTTCCTTCAACAGACTTGACCTGCATTCCCTCTACGCACGCACATTTGCTCCTGAAAAAAACCTCCTCGTTAGCACTCGTGCCTAAAACTAGCAAGAGACCAAAAGATTTTCAATACTTCAGTCTGCCTTTAGCTAGCAGCATGCATGACATTAAAGGCTGGACCCAACACCCTAATGAGAAAGATATGTTCCCTGAGCTATCCCAGCTTTTCCCGTACTTAAGCATTTTGAAATATTTATTGGCTAAAACGGGCAACAAAAGTACGTCTTAGTTACTTCTAGAGGTTGGAAAAAAAAGTCAGGAGGGACACCAAAGAGGTGGTTTTTATTAATGCTTTTTTCCTCTTTTTAAAAAAAACACTTTTTAATTTAACAGTGCAATCACCAGCTCCATTTAGGAAAGAAAAGAGATTCAGGGTAGTCTCTTAATGCTTGACCTTTTCAGGAAAACATTACCCCAAATCCCAAAGGGAAAGACAGAGATTCTACCAAAAATAAACTACTAAACAATATAAGACTTTAATAAAACATGGAAGGCAGATCTAAATGCTATGGATTATCAAAGGTTACGCCAGAGGTCTTTGTTCAAGTATTTTCTTCCAAAGAGACCACTCTAATGTCCTCCCTCCCGCCTCCGCCAAGATTTTTTAAAGAAGGAAATTAATAAAATAAATTTATGAGAAAAAGAGACTACTACCCTAAAAAAAACACGGTAAGCCCACTACTGAAAAAACATGAGTGAGCACGTTTAACATGGAAAGGATTGTTATGAGCGAAGGGCAAGCATCAAAAAGGTCAAATCCGTATTCAAAACTGTCAGTGCTTATGTGAACTAACCCTCCTTGGATGGGAAATTATATCAACAGATTTGGCATTAGGTTTTCAGGAACTAACAGGTCAAAAACCTAAGCATTCCCTCCAGGCTAAGACAAGATCAGGATGTAGGGGATTAAAAAGCTTATGAAAAATAAATCAAACAGCTTTGCCGCACAGAAAACTTGTTTGCTTGGAAGAACGGGCACAGGCATCTCTTGGTTCTAATTTTAATCAAAAAAAGAGTTCACTGCTGACACACCATAGGTTTTCAAGGACATGCTAGGTTATCTGCCGAAGAAGTCTTAGTTCTCCCTCATATTTGATCATTTCAGTTTAAAACAGTCTCTCAGGATGCAAGGTAGTGAGTTCTCTGACATATTAGGCTAATACTCAGCTTCCCTTCTGATCTCAAGTGTGCCCATAATAAATCAGATTCACGCTTGCTCACATGAATGCAATTTTAAAGTCACTGGAGTTTGCAACATGCCCCAGAGTCCAATTCCCCCTATACCATAATGATACTGTAAAGAAATAAGAACTTAGGCTCTGCTGAACAAATCTCACTTAAATCTAGATAGAACAGCATACTTGTGACCAACTTCAGTCATCCCTAAAACAAGCTGCCTGTGTGGCCACAGTAAAGTTGTGGTTCAACTCTCTGTGTATTCTCTCTGGCCTGACACCATATCCTTGTTAACACCAGTATTGTAACAATTATTGGTTCCTTGAGAAACCTAAAACAATGAAATCCATCTGCTGTGGTGCAATACTTCAGTGCTGCAAAGAAATACTACCTTGCGATATTTCACAAAATAAGCGTTGATGGGCAAGCCGCCGTCCCGTCCTGAACGCCACACCAGGTTGTACATGTCCGGCTTGAGCGTCTGAGGGGGGCTGAGAATGATGGGGGCTTCGGGGGGAGACACACTATTCGAGGCTTTTTCTGTTGCAACTGCATCAAAATGCAGTTTTGTTGGAGGCACACTTGAAAGCTCTGTCGCCGTAGCAAAATCTCTGTCACCTTCGTCGCTTTGGGCAATCGCCAAAGGAGCGATTTCTTCAGCTTTCGTGCTAGTTTCTAAAGGAACAGTAAAAAGAGGAGTCTGGTTACACCTTCGAGATGACGTTTATTCGCGTGTCCCCCACCCCGAGGCGGCACTAAATCGTTCAAGAGCGTCCTTTCCAAACAAACCCTACTGCCAAGCCAGTTCAAGAGATCCCCAAGCAGGCTTAAAAGCAGCAGCAAACTGCACCCTTGGCTGCGCCGTCTTGGCTTTTTATTCAGGGCAGAACAGGGCAATTTTTTTTTGTCAAGTGGCGTTTCACAGTAACAAAGACAGAAAGCCTGAAACCCGGCATCGCCGGGCACGGTTAGATTAGTACCTCAGGTAAATTAAGTAGCGGCAGCGGACTTGAAAAGAAAAGTCACACAGCTGCACTTGTGACACAAATTGTGTAATTTTAAGTTACTCACGGTTGTACAAGGAACTTTTCATGCCTCGAACTGGCGTGCACACAAGAGGACATTCTCCTGCTTCAGTTTTTGAGGTTTTAGCTGTAATTTCGATCAGCTTTGAAAGTTGCACGACTCAACTATTTCATTTGAAAATTTATGCTGAGAATAAACTTGGTCTACAGGCGGGTCTAACATGCAATTTAATACCAACACATTTCTAGAAATCCTGCTCTAGCCTTCTTCACGCTATTTACTTTGCCCGGCGTGAAAAAATAATATCAGTAGTACGAAAGAGGCCAGGAGACAAAAAAAATACTGTTAGGCTGATGCAGGGCTTGTCAGCATTCCAGGCAGGAAAGGGGTGGCAGGTTGGACATCTGAGATTATCCAGGACAAGTAAACGTCAGTGCTTAAAACGAGAACGTTTGGGAACTAGCACAGCTCCTAAAGGTTGCAGGCTGCAATGTCAGGACTGCCAGATGTTCCTAGCCCTGTCCATTCTTCCAGATTTGTGTAGGTTTATGTTACGGGCCGGGGTCTGGAAGGGGAAGGGAATGAAGGGAACTTGGTTTACAAAACAAACAAATTCCTTGGTAATGTAAAGCCTAGGCAGCGTTAGCCTGGCTGACTCGGATTCCTTCAAACCTCCATTAAAATACCAGCAGCAAGTGTGGCTGCTATTTTTGGCCCCTTTTTAAAAGCTGGGAAGGGAAGGAACGTTCCCTTTTCAAACTGTAGGCGCGTTTTCTCAGCAAGCGTGTGTCGTTTGTTGCTTTCTATTTATTTAGGGATGCTACAAAATTTCGGGGCAGGAGTAGGGAACACCACAAGGAGGAAGCCTCCAAAGCCAGACCCAGTTTGCTTAAGACGTCAGAAGCCCTGCAACAACCTCGGAGCGAAAGGATATCTACTACTGTCAGCGAGCCAGGGGGAAAGTGATGCATTGCCACACGCTAATATGGGAAACAAATGCCGTAGTCGCTGGAGGAGCCAGAAGGCCCACTGTATTGTGATGGACTCCTAGGATTTGTGGGTGGGCACAATATGGTTTGATGCCTGCTGGCGCTGGGAAACGGACTGTTGCGCATGAAGAATTAGTTGTGGTTTAGGCTGGTGACAGCAGACCTGCAGTCACTGCTATGTTTATTGCCCCGAGAGGCGAGTAATCAACGACTGGCAAGTAATTTGTATTTTTGCTTTTGGAAAACAACCGCGGGTAACAATTTCCGTTAAGCAATTTGGCTCTCAACGCTTTTTGCTAAGTTTTTGGTATAATTGCTGCCCTTATAAAGCAGCACATCAGACTTTTGTTTGCTTCTGTGTCATTACACAGCCCCCTCCAGCTATTGCTTTCAGGACCATCTCCTTTCCCTTGGCCGCTTAAACTTATTCTTCCTCAGCTTCACAGCCCCGCTGGGAAACACAAGCAGTGCTATACTGGGTCAGATCGGAGGCTGTTACATGCCCCAAATCCTGTCCCGAGCAGTGACCAGGAGGAGATTTTAGGGAAGCTTTTGTGCCCACTGGTCTCTGCAGTGCTACAGTAATATCTCTAGTTTAACGAGGTGCTGGGAAAAAGTACTCCCTCGCAAACTGAGAGGAGCTGAGTGTCCCTAATTCAAGCATTAAGAGAATGTATTCGGACCTCTTACTTGCAGTCGCCTCTATTTTAGAGCCTGCTGTCACGTCCCCCCTCCGGATGCCTCATTTGGAAGGTAAAGAGTCCTCATCTTTTCAGTCTCTCCTCCTACAGAAACTATTCTGCATCCTCGAGAAGCCCCTCGCCATGTTTCACAGCACCTTTCCTAATTCTTCTCCCCCCCTTCTTGAAACCAGGGAGCAAACACGCAAGCTGTTTTCAACTCGCCGGCATGCCCTGGATTCGTACGGCAGCACGGCAACGCTTCTATTTTGTCAGTGCTGTCTCCGCTGTGCAAGCAGATCGCGTTCCCAGGCGTTTCGTTGCCCGCTTCTTAAACAACGGGTGGATCCTCCCTCCTATTAGCTTCTTTAAGTACCTTAGCAAAGGCCAGGAAAAACGCTCTGAAAATCTGAACCCAGCAGATCACTGAAGTCGGCCACACCTGGAAAAACCTTTCCAATCAGCCCTAAGACTTCTCAGACATGTCTGGCCCCGGTAAAAGATAGGTTGAGCCTGCCCTCCAATATATCATTTACCTACCTCTACGAATGTTATTCTTTCTTGCATTTTTGTACTAGTCTGCCTGCAACTCAGACTGCTGGGAGTATATTTTCCTCCCCTCGACTTCCATTAGATATTAAGTTATTCTGTAGAGTTAACACTGTGTTTCGTAGTGCTGGAAAGCTCCTGCCAGGCATGCAACCACCACAACTGTCTAAAAAAGATTTAAAATAAGTGCCATGGATATAGGATCCTAAAGCTATCATTTTACATTTTGGTGGTTTCTCACTATGATGGTGGCTTAAGTTGCCCTGCCCACTTTTAAGGCCATGCAATGAATCAGGTCATGGAACAGATCCAGCAGAAGGAAAAAAAATATATACATTTTTCAGCCAAATAAGCTCTCTTACTGTGCACTTGCGCAAGGCAAATTACAGGAACAAGCTGCACAGGCTGAGAGCCGTCTAAGTTGATCCCACCACCAAAGAAATGCACTGGAATCACAGCTTAACTCATTCAGGTGCTTCAGAAATGTTACCTGGCACAAATTCTTCATTAAGAACTCTAAATGCTCGAGCATGTCTTCTGGCATGGATGGAAACCGTTCTAAAACCTTAACAGCTCCCAGAAACTACTTAAGGACTTTTATATCAAAACCAAATGCCTTAACCACCCTCTGCACCATAATCAGCAGCTAGTACAACATATTAGAAACCGATAAAAGTTAATAAACAAAACATTAAACTTGAACTTAGTGCCATAAAATTCTGAGGCAAAACTGGGATTTTTATATTCGATACAGGCTGTATTCTGGGATGAGATTTAGTTTTGTGTTTCCGCTCAACAGGGTCCAACGATAACTTTCATTTTATGAAACTACATGATGGGATCACTTTCTTTTAGAGGAAGGAAAAAACCCTGAAGAAACTTTCAGCATCTTTTCAAATTATATATAAGTGAGTTAAAAAATCTAATCTGCGGTAATAAAAGAACTTTACATACGGGATCATATATATGCTGAGAATCTTAAATCCCACTGACCTTCAACTAAACTTCCAGAGAGAAGATGCTGAAAGAATTGAGAAATGTAAGTCACACCCTGTGCCTATAATCTGTATCTTAGTTCTTATGCAGGGAGTATCATGAGGGGAAGCTTAAGCGTGTTACTCATATATCACTCTCGGGTGAAGAAAGGAAACAGTTCTGTTCCTATCCTGCCTTTAGTTTAAGAACTGTCGTCTTCTAGTAGCAATCTCTGGAAATAAAGAAAAAAACTGGAAAGTTTCTTTATCAACCATAGGAATGCGAAGCCTCATACAATACACACAAAGCCATTTCCTATCTACCTATCAGCTGACAACAGGCAGAAGGGAGAAACTGAGCCATAACAATAGCTTAGGCTCCTCTGCTAAGTTTCCCCAGGACACCCTCACTATCAACCTCCGCTAATTTCTTATTTGAACGCATTTCTCACCCAATAGTTATATCAGGAGGCTGACTACCACTACTTTCCTCCTTATAGCACTGGATTCGAGACCAATCTCGTATTTAAGTCTTACCGACTGTAAGGAACGCTTCTGACACCACAGAGCCGTGTTCATTCGTGGCTTCGCACGTGTATTCCCCAGCATGGTCAGGAGTCGCGTTCCTAACGTACAAGGAGCTCGACCCTGCTTGAGACACGGTGAAGTAGGCGGGCTCTGTAACGGCGCTGCCTGGTCTTGCGTGAGGGGGTTTCCGCGGTTTTGAACGAAGCGCTTGAGAAGGGTAGCTGGTAATAAGTCCTCTGCTGCTGTACCAACGGATCACCGGAACAGGCAGGCCAGAGGCATTGCAAGACAGCGTAACATCCCCACCATCTAGCACACTGACACTTGCTGGCGGAGCAACTATAACTGGCCTGGAACCTTTGCCTGGAGAGGGGAAAACAAACAAAAAACCAAAACAAAGAATAAATTTGGCTAGAGAATATAACGCTTAAGACCAAGGGGAGTCCATACAGTGTCAGGCAAGCTTTTCGTTTTGTCTTTTTAGCGTTTGACTGCTATTCCCTCTCTAGAATTAAGAGATGAATTGAAACTTGTGCAGAGAGAAACTAATACAAAATCGCACTCAAACCTCAGTTTATATTTGCTATATAAGAAAGGCCAGTTAGTTAGGAATACAGTACAGAGGCAAAGCTACCTGTTTTAGTCCAGTCCTTGCAATTACAGGCAACCAGGTAGCAGAATATCCACTCAGCCAGCCTCTGCACGCCTCAAACTTAAGCACAGAAAAACTCAAAAGCTCCAACTACACACCACAGGGAGAAAACGGGAACAGTGAGGGTGTTGCCAATGTCACATGGTAGTAGCAAAAACGAAGTTTTCTGCTGTTATTACAAAGCATCTCAGACTGGAAAACACTCTCTTGGGATCTGCTAAAGCGACCCAAGGGAAGTCTGCGTTAACCCAAGATCTGAGGAGCGTATCGTAACCTTAAGCATATGAAAGGGGCAAAATTACTCAGCAGCCAGTACTACTAAGAATACCAGCTCATCCAGCATAATGCTACCTAGAATCCACTTGCGGATAAATTGTGTCACATCCAGCTAGAAACTGTTTTAACTGCAGCTGATAGTTTAGGTTTTAAGTATCGAGTAATGAAACTAGCCCAGAAATAAGTGTAGCTCTTAAAACTCAACTAGAAGTCAGCACCTTATTTGTAAAGTCTGTTGCATACTGTGGTCAGAAGCAAATTGATACATAAACAGGAGAAGCCAGAATAAAATTCAAAGTAAGAAAATACAAGTGCCTAATTTGAGTTCCTGGAGGATTACAAGCGCTCCTACCCAGCTGGACATTAAGTCTCCCCGTGGACTGCACAAATCCAATCCCATTGTTTGCCGCACACTGATACAAGCCAGAGTCCTCCTCGGTGACGCCACTGATCCTCAGGCTGTTTCTGGTCGACAGGTGCCGTGAAGAGAGAGGGATGGAAACTGCGTTATGGAACCAGGTGAGGGTAGGAGCAGGGCTTCCACGAACGTCACATGAGAAATGCACAGTTGCTCCAACAGTCACGGTTTCATCTTGCAGTCCTTTAGAAATTGAGGCAGGTTCTAAAAGAAGAAATAATTGTATGTAAGTTATCTTAGCCAAAATCCTGAAAAAACCCTGCTTGAATCATTATGGAAAACGTTACACAAACTTACCAAAAGCTAAGCAAGCAGCACGTACTTCTGGTTCTATGCAACATAAAGCTGTTTTTTCCAAGACACTTGCTTATTTTAAAGGCCTTTTCCTTCTATTCCAAACGGTTACATTTACATTAATACTGTAAATAGAACACTTGTCTTTTTGAAATAATTCTTCAGCAGCACCCCCATGAAAAAGGTACGTCGTTTTACGTCAACAGCCTATTTTTTGAGTTCCTCTAACGTATATCTTTCAAAAAGAAAGCCAAACGTGCTGTGGAGAGGAAAAACCTCAAAAAGAAGAAAAACACTACAAAGGAAAGAGGCTAGGCTTGAACTGCAGTCGTACAAGAGAGGCCTTTATTGCTTTCGATTTTGTCCTCGTCAGGACACATCACCCCTCCTCACCAGCTTTTTGCGTATATACAACCCCAAAAGAGCAACACGTGAAGGCAGTCACATTATTTACACTGTATCACGTACACACTCGGCACTTTGCAGAAAAATAAATTGATCATTTCTTGCCTTCAGAGTTTGTTATCTTTTACTGTTAAATTATTTCAGACTGCAAAGGATTTGAAAAGAGATAAATAGTTATAGGTTTTGACTTGGGAGATCATGAGATATGCTTATTATGCACTTATCTTTGTTTTAATATGTTTAGGTTGAGAAAGAACGTTAGGCCAAAAATAGCAAATATACAACCAAACAAAATATGCATGGCCTGGACTTCAAAATAAAACTTGCAATTAAAAGTTCCTTCTTTTACATCTTACCCAATATATTAAGTGAATAGTTAACGCTTTTCGCCACTCCAAACTCATTTCCCACCACGCAGGAGTAATTGCCAGAGTCCGACGCCTCAAGCCTATCTGTCACAAGATGGGAGTGCAGCATTTTCCACCTGCCTCTACCCAGCGCATCTTGGCCGTCTTTAAACCAGCGGACAGACGCTGAAGGCAATCCACTGACAACGCACTCTAGCATCAGAGAACTGTGCCGGGGCACTGCCAAACTCTGGGAAACTGCGGGGTGAAGTATGTGAACACCTGCCGAGGAAGAGCCTGCAAGAAAGGAGGCAAGACTTATCACTAACCTAGTTTTCAAACCTCACAGTGAAGCGCTGCCCCATCCCATCCTCTGGTCCCAAAGCTTTGCCATATCTTTTAAGAAGCTCTAAGCATAGCTAGTTAGAAGTATTCCCTTTTCAAGGACTAAGCGCTCTGCCCTCCCAGGACCTGAGAGGCAGCCCCACTGCTCCTCCACAGCAAGGGGAAAATAACAATTTGATCAGAAAGCACTCCCTTCTTAACGCGTGTCAGAAAGAAGCAAGGAATCAGTAACAAACTGCTGTCCTTTCGCAGGGCGACACATACCCAACTCTTAGGGTGCAATTAAGAAAAACAGATACTTGTCCAAATACGCAGGACAGGTTTTACATAAGATGGTACTTAAGACTAGCAGATACTTAGGCTGATGTATCCATGCTAAAACCTTAGGGATTTTTTTTTCTCCTTAATAGACTCAGATTTAACAACAGAAAATGAAAAATGATATTCATCAGATATTTACTAACCACATTATACACAGCAGAGGACAACCATTCGACTGTCAGAACAGTAAGAATTTAAGATCTAGCCAAGAGTGTGATTTATTGAATTCAAGTGCATCCATTCTGGAAAGCGTCAAATTAAATACTTACGAATGACTATGAGCTTACGTCCAGTGGGTTCTATTTTGAGATCATGAGTGACTGGGTTGTATACTGCACATTTATACGATCCTTTGTCCTCTAAAGATACATTCAAAATCTGCAGGTTCCCAGATGGAAGAATTAGGTAGTTATCTAAACAAGAGGGGAAGGAAAAGAGGATTACATTGAACTCCGTTTCAAATAAAGACTTTTTTTTTTTTTTTTGAAAAATAACCTGTTAAATTAATCTACTCTCATTTAGGATCACAAAGAACGTATGCTACTGTGAAAAGGATATTAACTCACAGAGCTAGATTTACAGAAAATGAATTGCACAGCAAGTCGTGCAAGTTTTGGGATAAAATTCCAAAAAAGCTTCTGCAGACATTTATGTCGCTGTACGGTGACATTAAACCTCTCACCTGTTGATTGTTCCAGCCATTTTCCCCGCACTCGAAAGCGGACCTGTGCTTTAGGGTTACTTTCTGGCACCTTGCATCCAATGAAAGCAGCACCTCCTTCCTCTGCTGCAATGACAGATTTCACTGAGGTGTCAAAATTATCCAGACCTAGAAGAGAATTTGTAAAAGACTAAGAGCAGACAAAACTTGGGGGAGGCAAAGGGCAGTAAGCATAGTATTTCGGTTTAAAATATAGCTGATGTCAAGTTGGTAATTTTTTCTGGTCCAGCATTTGGGCATTCATATCAACAGGTGTGGTCTTTTCTGTAGTCCATAATACTATAAACCTGTTTACTCTTCATGAGCTTCCTCACTAGGCAAGCAGCCAGTATTTAAATGGAACCGTGAGGAAAAAGGACCCACGTATGTCCTTTTCCCCATTAACTGCCTCATGAAAAGCAAGCACAGACATTGGTAAGGGAAGACTGTAGCGTTAATTATGGGCTCTGAAGGTGATCAGGAGACAATTTACACTAACAGCAGGAAGGCTGTCCATAAGAAAAGTTAAATTATCTCTTGTTATATACTGTGTACAGCAGCATCTCCCACTCATTGTCTTGCGCAACGAGGCAAAGGGAAAGCCTCAATAGCTAACAGCACCTTCCGATTTGCTGCTAAAAATCTCAAAGGGAGTGGAAAAGTGCGAACGGTACTCCTCTTCCACTCCTTTATGTTCAAAGCATCTTCTAGGTTGTGAAATTTTTCTACGCTAGCCACCCTTATAGCTCTCTTGAGAGGGTCTTGCTATGGGTCAGTACTTTACCAAAACACTTACTTCTCTCACTTATAAGAAATTTTCCTCTCGGGGGATTTTGGACATGCTCCATAGATGAGGTACCCTTACAGAGAAATCACTCAAATCCTGCTCGACAAAGGCCTGATTCAGACAGCACTGAATGAAAATATATATTTCAAAAATATATATTCACTGAAAATTTTCACTGAATGAAAATATATACATTTCATATCATCTAACATTAATATATATGTATTTCAGCACAACATCATCCTTTCCATGTAGGAAACAGCGCACTTCCTCTTTTCAGGCTCTTTTAAACCAAGTAATTTACAGATCAAGCACCAACACAAAGACTGATTAGAAGAACTAGTGCAAAGAACCCGGGAAGTTGCACCTAACAGAGGAGGAGAAAGCCTGTAACAGCTAGATAATTTTGACAAAGTGAAATTGCTATAAATTAAAAGGAAATTTTGCAGCTCCGACTGATTTCCCAGTCAACAATTCCCACTCACGTCTCCTCTGCCCTTTTCTAATCAGCTCTTGTGCCCAGGAACTTCTATTTAGACAGCTCAGTTAGCACTGCAAGGAAAACTCACAGGACTGAAATATCACATTTGAAAAGGCAACCAAATGGTTCTTGCTTCGTAAAAGATTATTTTGTACGCTTCAAAACACGTGCAGAGATTGATCATCTTTGCAAAGGCTGGCACGGTGCAGAAGCTTACAAGTTACTAACTGCAGAGCACGCTTCTGCAATGGCATGGCAGCTCGGATGTGGTTTCAAGATCCTTTTCTGAAGAGAAGCCTGTAGGAACCTAAATACTAGGAATACCGTGTTCCTGTCAGGAGGGAAAAAAAGGTTGCCAGAAGGAGTTTTCTACAAGTCAAAGATTCCCCCTAATTATACAAACCAAGTGAGGACTACATAATTTGCATAGAGCAAGGATCGTAAACAAGAAGGAACTTACTGCCTATCGTTACCGTTGCGGGCCTGCTCACAACAGCGCCCACGCTGCTGTTAGCGACGCACTGATAGGAACCACACGTTGACGGGCTGAGGGAGACGATTGTCAAAGATCCTGACTGGATTTCTACTTGTCCCACCCTGCTGTCCAAGCGCTCTCCATTAAACAGCCAAGAAATGAGAACCGCGGAAGGCTCGGCAGAGCAGTGGAGTTGAACCGGCCCACCAGACTTCTGCACAGTAGACAAGGGCTCAGAAGTAAAACGGGGAGTTAAATCTAAAAGGAAAAATGACATTAAATTAGTGAGCAGCATTTATTAGTGCATTTTGCAAATACATGCAATGAAATATTTCTCTCCAGATAAATGAAGCATTGACTTACACAGAAGACTGACCATAAACTGTATTACAGTAATGCCTTCTCCTAAGGCCTCTCCCACCGTTCACAAACCTGGCAAACTTCTTGCGTCAATCTTGGAAGGGATCAATTGCCTCAAAAAAAATAGTTTCTCAGCAGAGGACCAAACATCCCTAAAAGACTATTCAAATAAAACATGGACAAAGCACCTCTCAACTGCAAATCATTAGTGATATTCAGATAGGATCACGTTTTCTTCCGCAGGAGAAGCTCATTCTTATAAATTCCCACTCTGCTACAGAGACTCAAACGCCAGGGAAAACAGGACCCAATTCAAACCCCATGAAAAAAGTGACTGATTAAATAAACGTAGGTTCAGCTTACAGGAAGGGCAAGATAAATCTCAAAGTACACCCAAGGGAAAGACGTTGCACCCAGAATACATTGCAAAGGGTAACAAGGGTGGGGGGGGAGTTACAGAAGTATTTCGAGATTTTTGGTAACAACAACGAAAACCTAAGCCTTGCATCCACATAAGACCGACAGCACTTGATAAAGACACGAAAAGATCACGATTGCTAGAGCCAGCAAAACGGAGAGCGCTAGCTACAACCAGACTGGATTTAGTCATAGGGTGAAATAGCACTCATCACCTGAGGAGAGAGAGTACAGTAATGTGCAGCTGTAGCTGATCTGTCCCATATGAAGCTGGCCCAGACGTGACTTGTAAAATTTTAGAAATGGCAGCAGCCTGCCAGGTATTTATGCAGAACCGTCTCCGAGTCTGCAAATCTAATTAAAAATAGCAGGATAAAAAAGCTGGATGAACAGCAAAGGCTCTTGTTAATTCCAAATACATGGACTTCATCAGGATGAGAATGACGAATCGGGACTCCATTATCTTTATTCAGTAAAGATGAATAGAAACAGGAAAAGCTGCTAATAAATAAAAGCTTCAGTTCCACAAAACTTGGTTATGAGAATCCATTTATTCGCCAGTAGAAAATTCCTGCTTCTTGGAAGAAATTTTTTCCTATCCTGGCCAATGAAACATTGGGAATCATTTCCATTTGTTTTCTATGGAATTCTCCACCGAAGATTTTGTACAAAGGATGGAAATAAAAGGCAATTAATACCACAAGCTCCTATTTGGCTAGAAACACGTGAGGAAAAAAATATGTATTCTAGAATAGACAAAGTGTCAGGGAAAAACAATTTCTAGTTTGCAATTAAGCTTGACTCCCACTATCTGGACTTAGAAGACGTTAAACGACATCCAAATAAGAGACAGCTTTCTTTTAGGTGGGGCCCTCAGTCATGCTTTTCTTCTAAAGTCAGTCCATCCAAGCACTGCTTATACAGATGAGTTTCAGATGAGAAGCTGTGCATTTTTAACTGAACCATAAACTATCTGCATAAACATAAAAATGAAACTGGAAATTAAAGTGTGGCTTCACTTAAAAAAATATGAAATCCATAAAAATGGTATCCAAGCATTTCACAGGACTCCAGATGTACATTTTTAGCTTTTAATTAGAAAATTGTTTTTCCTGTTAAGTTCAGTTTGAATTTCCAGGGATAAGAGAAAAGCAATGACCTTTTTATACTTGCTAGCCACCAGTGCAATGAAATTGCATTGGTACTGTCATCTTGCCTCATCTTCCTCTCTGCCCTTGCTTATACCACTAACACTTTGCGTTGAATGCAAAAGTCAAAATTGGTAGCAGTGACCCTGCAGCTGGAATTTATCTCCTCTGACTGCTTGAAAAATAAAATTTATCCCATTTGCCTCTAACGATTGGCTATGAAGTGCTAAAAGTAGTAAAAGCTTCTTTTTTGTGTGGTTACATTAAGACAAGCTGACTGCACAGAGCAGATGTGTCAATTAAAACCATTCCTCCTCCTTTTTTTTCAAACGCGTAAGAGCTGTTCCAACTGCAGCCATACATCAACATTCATGGTTTAAAGATCCGATTCCCCTTTTTCCCTTGCAGATTTCAAGCCACTCCTAATCCCGTGAGAACACAAGATGCACTGCACACAGCAAAATTAAGAGTCCAGCTAGTTCATGGATATCCCAAAGAACAACCTACAGAGCTGAGTCTTCTGAATTCTGGCATTTGTTCTGAGCCAAGTTTTCAAAAACAAGTCATATATTCAGCCTAAGGCGTGGGGGCTTCAGAGTTTAAGTGCTTATGCATTACAGTTGGCCACTTCGAAATTGAGGCACCCAAAAATCATTGCTCCTTCAAAAGCACGGGCTCAACCTCCAAGCAAGTTGTCACCTAACGGGTGAGAGAAGGTCTTACCTGAACTCACGGCAGAGATGAGCGCTGCGACAGCGACAGAGAGCAGTGCCTGTAAGCGTCCAGGATCTGGATGCATAGCGCCAGATTACACAAGTTGGAAGCACAAAGCTCCAGATTAAGATGAGGCACTGAAACAGCTACAAAACAAACAAACAGATGTCAACTCTAAGTTTCAGGAATTATTCTTTTAACTCTCTCACAATAAAGTGTTTGGATAAAAAAATAAAATAAAATAAATAAAAAAAGCACAGCCAGGAAAGAGCCAATTTTCTTTGCAATATAGAAACCATCTGTAAAAGTGAGTTAGAAGTTGAACTTCATAACAATGTTTCCAAGTATTATTCTTAATATTTTTCCACAGATGGGATATGAGGCTTACGCACTGTATCCGTACGGCCGTGATAAATTAGACTACTTTCCAACCAGAGGAATTGCAGGCCAAAGTAAACAGCTTATCTATCTGAGATAATATTGTTTGCAAACAATAATCATTTGATCATCTATCACCAGGCTACACTTGTTTTACAAGTTTTTATGAATCTATATTCTGTGACATAGCTACTGCTCATAATTGCCGTGAACCTGCTTACTGAGACATGTCATCTGCTTTCTTTTTGTCATCGCTTCAGTGGAAGTTCACGCTGCTAATGTGCGCCGACCCTCTTCTGATTTACAGTCAAACCGGAGCAAACGTTTACTGAAACAACATTACCAATACTAATCTCATCCTCATACCCCTTTATATCCCCAAACTGAGGCCGATTTCTTTCGTCTCATACGTCCTTACAGGACATTCATTAGGCAAGCTGTTATCTACACCGCTACTCCTTCCCTCAGCTATATCACACATACATCTGACATAATTCGACTATATTAGACCTCACTTTCAGCACCAAAAAATATGACACCAGCAGCCCAATTTGCATAAGGCGACAGTCTTCTGACACTCAGCTCCTCCATCACTTAATTTGTGTTTGCCTTTTGTAATATAAAGATGAGTAAGATCATTTAGCACAATTACTTCATTTATCAACCCACCCAAAACAGACCATGCAACTCCGCTGCTGATAACACTCAACATATATTTTAAACATCTCATTTATCAGACACACATATAAACACGTATCTAACATGCATACAATAACTAGGGGCTCTACTGGCAGTGCACAGAAACAAGTGCAAGAGTACGTTCGATGGAAATAAGTCATGAGCATCACACTGTTTACTGCGCGTTCGTGGAGCCGTTCGGTTTCCAAGAAGTCAGATCCAGACATCAACAGCAGAATTACTCTCTCAATTTATTTAAAGTTACAGCATTTATCATCAGGTCGCTGTGAAGTATATATGCAAAATAAGTATCAGGAAGAGACTCCAATAATAACAATCACTTCTGATTTTTCTAGAACTATTTGCTTCTTACATCTTCTCCCTGCGTATCGCGCTCCGCATTTATGACGACGGTTGTAGAAGGCTCAAAGAAATTCTGCAGAGCTCTGCTCCCATTTCTGGGCGTTTTTATCTGATACCGCTGCGAATTCAGCTCAACCATCGAGATGAATCAGTAACTCTGCAGATCGGGCTGCAACAGTTTGCTAGCTCCTTAAGAGAGGAGTCACGACTGTTTTGGTAACACACAGATGGCAGAAGAGACTAGCTGTGCAGAAAGCATTTTGGTTTATTTGAATTCTCACTCGGTTCAAGGGCAGCAGAGCCGCTCCACCAGCGAGCGTATAGGACAAAGTAAACATGCAGAGAACTTGTTAACATCAAACACTTTTCTGAAGAGGGTGGGGGGCAATGTTGCTTTTTGCCAAATCTTTCCTCAACTATTTATTTATGAAAAGCAATGAAACGTATATTCTAGGTCAACTTTAACCCCAGCACATGGAGCTACTGGGTTATTTTGCAGCTGTCTCTTTAAACAAGGCCAGCTCATTATCTTTAACTAAACTTTATCTTTTGAGATCTACTTTATCCAGTCTCTGATTTCCCACTGTTTATCTTTCTCTTTATATGTTCCTAGCTGCCAGTGTCAACAGCTACTCGTCTTTTGACCTACCAGTTTGGCTTTTGTAGCCTTGTAGAGCGGTAAGCCCAACTATCGCACAGTGAGTACACAAAGAAAGCCACATAGCCAATGTCTTTTGACTGGAAAAAAAAGAAAAATATCAACTTCAGTAGGTGTGGTACTGTTCAGCAACAGTACCCAGGCTTAGACAGACAGTTCCTCTAACATCCACTTTTGAGAGGACTCTGGAGTCCTCTACCTCTGAGCAAACATGGGGGCATACGGAGAAGATGGGACCCCACATTCAAAGCACAAATCAAACTATTTGCTCTTTTTTTTCCTTCTCCTTCCACACGCGCTTCACCTGTTGGCACTGCAGAAGCCTCTCGCTGCTTACAAAGAGACCACAGTTCTGGAGGCCATTAGACCCTCAATCGAGAAACAAGTTTTGTCTCTTCGCCCTAGTACAGTATTAACACATAGGGAAGCGCTCAGAGGCTAGGCCTTCCACCGCACCGTAAAGACAGAAGACAGGACTCCTCCTCTGTCCGTCACCACTTAAATCATCTTGAACTCCCTTTTTGACCACTGCATTTGACAACAAGTATCAGTCATCAGGTCTACCGGGAACAGACAACAGGAACATTTTGGCTAAATGCGACTCCATATATCATAAGTGTCACTGAGAAGATGACGCTATTTCTAAGCCTTGTAAAGAAAACAGTAATAACAGAGACTATTCATAACAACAGGAATAATATTTTCAGAGTTGAATAACGGTGGCCATGGCTTTCATGGACTGAGGAAAGGAAAAATGGAAAATGACTTAGGCTTATTTAATTTAAAGGATGAATCTTGGAAATAACTGACAGATTTTCCTCATGTACATGCTTGGTACATAATGAAAGCTCTTTGCTCTTAGAGAAAATAGACAGGAAAGTATGAGACGGCAGTAAACAAAAGGAGAGAAATCTAAACACTTTATATAACTGGCTTGAAGCAAAAGTAGTGGAAAACACAAAGACTAAAGGTCACACTATAGCCTAGTCCAAAGCCTAAAAGATACCTACTACTGCACGCACGCTGTCTCATACACATTAACAGAGAACATTTCAGTGTATTTCTGACCACTTTCCATTTGGTGATGGTCCATGATGCACAACTCAATGCCTGGCAAACAAATACATCCCTTTAAAAAAGGCGATCACAAAGACTATTTTTATTTACCTTCCTAAGGCAAGAGGTATCACCAGGGATTATTACGTGCTCACAGAACAAGGTCCCTTTCACTTTCATTGGCAAGTTCTCCAGATCGTTGGTGAAGCACATCAGAAAGCCGCAGCGTGACAAAGGCCCATACTTTCACTACTTACACTGGAACACCTTCATCTAGAAGTCATCTTCCGATTATTTTCATTCGGCACTCGACCCCCTTGCCAACTCTGAAGTATCTGTTGCTCTTGTACAGCAAAGAAAAAAATGGAGACCAAGAAGATGAAGGGCTTTTGTCAAGAGGAGGAGTTGTTAGGTCTAACAGATGCTTAACTCTTGGAAGTACATTGCACATAGAGAAACGTACACCGGACACATCGCGGGAGATGATCAGCAAGAAGAAGTACGCTTGAGACAACATAATTCCAGTTGCGTGTCTCCTCTGTCAAACTGTTTTCTAAAGAGGGATCCCTTGCCAAACAGCCTTCGGGCCAGGTACGTGCCCATCAATCAGCTCACCATTTCAGACCCCTCACCTTTGGCATGCCATCTACCGGTAAGCAAAAGAAATTATCAAGAGCTCTTCTGAAACGCTGAGTACAACAGACTGGAAGCCTTCATGTTAGTTAATGTCTTCAAAGAGCACCAGCGGGGGCTCCCTGTGCAGGAGCGGGGCTGTCCACGCTGCTAGGGCGTTGGGTCAGTCCTGGCACTCCTACGCAGTTCCTGGCCAAAGCTCAGGAGCCAGCGTGGGCCAGGGACCCTTCCCATAAGGCAGCCACCACACAATGGCCTCATTACAGAGGCTTGAGGAGCTTCCTAGGAGGGACACGGGCCAGGCAACAGCCCCAGGCACATTCGCTTACCAGAGCGGACATAGCCAACATCCCACTGAGATGAGAAGGAAAGACGCACATACCAGACTAACTAGGCAGGCTTTTCATCTCCGATCTGGATCGGCTTAGCGCAGCGAAACAGCACAGCCCTAGCGACGACCCTTCACTCTGCGCAAAGCTTCGCGCTTGTTGCGAGTTTAAGGCCCATGGCTGTTTCGCAGTAGTTTCAAGAGTCTCTAGTTGTTGTTGTTGTTGTTGTTTTTAGGAAATTAACAGTCTTTCTTCAACTGTCAACTTCTGTAACGCTCAAGGCGTCTCTTCTGTTCAACGCGACTAACTTAACCTACCTCCTCCAAATTAACTTGACACACTCCTGCCTTTACTTCCCCAAACAAGAAGGCTTTACAGCCCAGAAGGTGGCAAGTACTGTTGTCTACCACGCATTCATACAGTAGCAAGCCCAAGAGGACCCTGACCAAAATCATTCCTTCAAAACACAGCCTGCCCTGCTCGTTTACCAGACCGTAGGCACTTCTTTGTCTCTACCCTTTCAGCTGAGGGCAGAGTCGCTACTGGAAAGAACATTATTCCTAACCGGCTTTTTTAGACTGTTAGCTCACCCGCTCGGCAGGAAGATGACTCAGGGAGCTATGTCAGACGAGCACGACAACGGCTGGTAGGGAAACGGCAGGACCACCCTTCCCAACTGCAATCAGCCACCAGAGCGCCTTCGCCATCGTCCCACGTCAATCCAACTGCTGCCTGCCATGGCGCTCCTACTCTTTTGCTCCCCTCCAGAGCTCATCTGACCTTGGAGGAGCCATTTCAGCACACCAAGCTGAGTTAAAGCTAACCCAACAGAAAAAGGAGGAAAGGCACATTCGGGAACAGAGGGAGTAATTCAGATTGCCCACTCCACCTCTCCATGCTGACAGCCTTCTCTAACTTTAAAAAAAAAAAAAAAAAAAAGCACACACACCCTCGGAAAAAGTGACCTTTACCTAGACGGAAAGCTTCTGCTTCAGCGGCAACGCTGCCCACACGAGCTGAAGACGTGACACAGCCAGTCCTTCCGCTTGGAATAAAAAGGCTTTTGACTCCAAGCATTTCAGATTTTTGTTAAACAGCGGCAACTCCAAGCCAATCCATCCAACGGCACTTTATCATAAATCCTGTATGCGAGCTAACACCTAAAGCGTGACAAGTACGGAGAACTTTTTTCGAGGTTATTCATTAAGTTACAGTATTACGAGAGAGAGAAAAAAAAAAAAACTTTCCTTTTAAATTGTTCTCCAAGGTTTTTGCTGCACTGATAGAAACAACTGAAGATTTTCCAAGAAATCAGACTTGAGGCAAATAAACCCCCAAGAATTGAAACACCCTGCCTTTAGTACAAGCAAGCTGAGTCAGATCATTAAATCTCACACCAAGACACCTTAAGAAGGAGAAGGAGAAAAAAAAAAAAGGTATTGAAGCCTGTAGCATTCCAGGAGAAAGTAATCAGACATTCCTTCGGCCCCGGACTCCTCAGTGATCTCCGAAGCCTTTGATCACTGCCTGTCTTCATGCCGTCCTCCTGGGGTCTGGCAAAATGAGTGTAACAGCTGGCATATATACTTCATTAGCTTTGTGTGTTTGGGAGGAGTGGTTAGGAGCCCAGCAGCTACTGACAAGCTGCCCGTCAGCTTTAAGGACTAACCTCCGAGGTTTATTCCCGGGTCTTTGGGAAATCCTTGAAGCAGCCGTGGGCAACTGAGAGCGATGCATTCGCACGCATACCACCTCGCTCGTCCGCTGGCGGCGTGAGACACGGCACGTCGGGAACACCGCTGCTGTACATTAAGGACGCAGCGGGTAGATTTTTTACGCCCATACGAAGGTTTGAGATGGCGAGAAGGAAAGCAAACTTCTCGCAGCGCCATTTTCCTGCATGCTTAATGATCACTCAATCATTAACATCAGCCTTTAAAAAGCAAATGCAGCACCTACAGTGTTCATTACCCTCCCCCTCCCCCCTTTTCAGGGTCTCAATCGAGTCAGTCAAGCATGCAAACTGATCCTGTCGCCAGCAAAAGCATTTCCTTTCACCGTGGTCAGCCAAAAGCAGGGGAAGAAAATGGAAGTGACTTGGAGTTATGGCACCAAAAAGGCCAGACAAGCAAGGAAATAATCAACTCCACATGAGCCACTTCTAGCCCATCACAATGAAAAGGGCCTACGACTAACCCCAGGAAAGGTCACCAGGACTATGGGGGTCAGAAGCTGAAAAAGGCAATAGTGAGCAGCTGCCAGCTGCAATAAGAATCAATGTGTTCCTAATTACACTCAGAAGAGAGGGCTTGAGCACCAAAAAGAGAGGAAAAAAATAAAAAGGTTGTGCTGTAATCACATCTCGTGTACAAAAAATCCAAGCGCTCCCGTTCTGCTCCCTCCACCTCCAGCACTGAAACTGCAGTTTCTGTGCTACTAAATTACAGGAAGCCAAGCAAAGCAGATAAGAAATCAGGCATTTACATAAGTGGCTCTTTTTTTTTAAATCCCATAATTAGGCATTTGTATTAGAATTACAGCATCATGAAAGACAGGATTTCAAGAGTGCAAGTAATAAAATTACATACTGCAAAGGGATTCAGGGGGCGTTTTTGTAAAACAAACTGAACTCTGCCCAACAGTCCTGCAAACCCAGTAGTTTCTCTAGCCGCCTGAAAGACACGCTGGAAAATCCAGAAGGGAGAACCCCGCGAAAACCAGTTTGCTCGCAGCAACCCTAAAGCCAAGCGTGAGAGACGTAAGCAGATCAGAGAACGCAAGGAAACGTACTCAAAGGCACCTACAGAAACATACCCAACGGAAACGCACTTAAAACTAGAGGAAACGGCATCCTTTGATGTCACGTTCATATTTATTTATTACATTTTAAACAAACGAAAGTGTATTTTCTAGATGTGTATCGTAACAACTAAAAGACAAGGCAAGAAATTAGAGAACAAACTCGCTCAGCCTTTTCTAGCCTCACCTGCAATTCCATTTTTAGCTTCTCCAAATTTCTCTCCCTACCCATGCTCACCATCCAGACCAATCAACGCCAGGCCAGCGCTCACGTGGCTCCTATGTATATTCCTGCTTAATATTTTTATTCTTTTTAAATATCTGTCGGGAGTGCTGCAGGGGTGCGCGTGAAGGCTCTCCGGCTTGCAAGCGACGGCAGCTTCAGGTTTACTCCAGGCCATTCAAAAGCTTCTGTGAATCAGCGACGGGTAGCTAGTGTCGAACCTCGACGGCATTTTTTGCGGCCAAAGCGCATAACCGATTGTGCAGTGATTTGTAATGGCGCGTTATTTTTGTCAAAACGAAGACTGAGCGTTCGCTCGGGATAAAGGGCAGCAGATGGCAGGAGAAACAGAAATGGCACTGAGCAGAAGGAACAAGTTATGCATAGGGGATGACGCGGGCTTCTCCGTTCACCCCGCTGCCTCACGCACGGTTACCGCGGCCCTACAGGAACAAGGGACCTGAAGTCCTGATCATCTTCCTTAACAGTAAGGCAAACGTATTGTTTTCCAACGGTATAACACACCCTAAATAACTTCAGTAACTTAACACTCTGTTACAGGTAAGATTTTCAGTGTCATGGGACAAAGGCAAAGCATGCACAAATTGCACAAGTGACACAAGAAAACATTAAACATCTCCTGAAGGGAGAGGTGGAAACAAAACGGAGGGACACATTAGCCTAAAAGCATGACCAACCAGCAGGACTATCTCAAAGATGGAGAAGCTGATCTTTTGCTGGAACCATGAAAGACTTCCACCTGCCAGCAAGAAACGCTGTTAAATCTCGACCCACTTTCACGCACACAAAATGGTTCACGCTGTTACACACCCTGTGTGCTTTTTGCTTTTTCTTTTTGAGTTGCTCTGTGGATTTTTTTTCTTTTTTTTTTTTTTTGCGCTTTCAGGCCTGGAAAGTCTCATGCTTGGTATCAGCTGTTGGACTCTGATCAAAGTTTAACTTTCCATTAATCCTCTGAGTTATATGTGAGGCTGATAGCGAATTTTTTTTAGAAGACAGTTAAGATTACTCAGATGCTTAATTTGCACTCCACTATTTCAAAAACACCTTGACTTTAAAACCTCAGTCTTGGCATACATATGGTCTTGATAGAAGAACGCATGCTTTTGCCTTGACTGAAGGAGTAGATTTGTGAGCAGAGCGAAGAAAGTTTAACAGTTTGTGTACTGTGCCTTTGCAGCACGCTGCTCCCTTCCCGACTCCCTCGGACGGGAGGACCCTGCAACAGGCCAGCTCTGAGGCTGCACCACTCTGCTCCAGGCTCCTGTACTCCAGGTGCACATCAATATCTGCGTAGCTGTCACTTAATCTTTCCTGTTCTGTGCAAAAGTGGCACTTTATGTTCAAGAACATTATTTCAGAAGCCTCATCCAGAATCCAAGTAATAGCGGATATTCCTCGAGTCTCCCAAGTCAGATAAACTGTCACACGGCCTCAATAAAACAACTTTGCTAGGGACACATGCACATGTTCTCATCTGGGAGAGCGTGAATTTCTATCCTGTATTATAAACACCGGTCAAAGTAAGATATAAATCGAAAAATTTCACAGAAGTCATATTTTCTTTCCCATAAGCAGGCATAACAAAATTAAGTTAACTTTATTAACTTCAAAAAGAACTTGACACAATCCCCCTGCTGCCACACTAATGAAGTGGGGATGGTTTCTGCATCTTCTAGCCTCAGGGGGAGAAAAAAACCAGAGCATTAGCCTAACATATAGTTCTTCTGGGCTACAATTATGCTTAAGTGCCTAAATAAGGGTTTTTTAGACCTCAAAGAATCCGAAGGTATCATTAGTCTAACAGTTCTATCAGAGTAACTGTACACCAAATAAATACCAAATTCTAGCCCTCTGCTCTTCAAGGCCTCCCGAGATCTCACCCTTCTTAATTCTCTCCTGGATGGAAACTGCTTTGCCTCATACTCCCGTTCTCCTCCCCCTCTCTTAAGCTTAATAGCTCAACTTCTGTTTCGATTCTGTCACGCCGCCTCACAATTTGCCAAAGACAACTCTGCTCACCTTCAATCGCGTCTCTAAAGACGCCGCAACGAATGCTTCCCTCTCTTCATCAATCCGCTTCTCTGCTCATTCCTGTAGAACTGGATCCCCGGCGAAAGGGTTTTGTTTTATGTTAATACCATTACAGAGTTGTACTTTTTCAACCGAAGTGATTTTACTTTGAGATTTCGCAATCAGTTTAAGCCAATTTAAAGTCCAGCTGCTGCTGAAGAGGGCACTAACACCTTCCTTCAGGACCTGGCTTGCATTCTGCTACCAGCACAAAAGGTCCTGTGGCCCTTGAGCGAGTCAAATCAGTTGGCAGACCCAGCTGAAAACTAAGCCAAAGACAAATAAAGTTTAGTTTTCCCTTGGCTCAGGGAGCAGTTTTAGCTCACCATGCAGTCTCACAGCACTGGCACAGCGGAGGAAGGAACGGACATCCACAAAAGGGCAGCTTCGCCCATCGGCTGCACGCGGCCTCAGGAGAGCTTATGAAATAACATCCTAGCGCACTCTGAAGTGCCTCCCCCGATATCTTTAATAAGCCCCGAGCTACCAGAACATAGGCAAAATTAAAGAAAAACAATTGAAACCCAAGTCCAAGCAGTATGTGGCATACTCAGACCACATACTGATTTTTTCAAGTGAGTTAGAAGGCTTACAGTCCCAATTAGCCGAGCTACACGTGCACGCACCACAGCGAGCTTCAGCACTGCCTAGAGGTATATTCTTCCCCTCCAACAAGTTTGTGCTTTGCACATGAAGAAAAAACACCCTCATTTAATCTCTCTACAGTTCCTATAACCAGAATCAAACATCATTGAGAAAGCGATCAGAGCCATACATTTGAGCCGGTCATCAGAAAAATATCTCCGATTCTCAGGCAAAAGCGCTTGTGTCGATGCACGCTGCCTAAGGGCCCCACTCCAACAGCTCTCGCGTGTGCATTTGGTAGGCTTGGACCTGCGAGAAGGGGGGGGAGAAAAAAAGACAACCGCTGCTGAACTCTTGTTAGAGGAGAGCAAACTCGTTTCTGAGGTGGCTCCAAATGAACATTGATGCCTTGTCCACCGATACCCTCCAGCAAGCAATGACTCTAAAAACACATGCAAAAGGCTCTTTTTTAGCTACCTTATCCCCAAGTCCAGCTCAGTCTGTTGCAACTCGCAGGGACAATATGCTGCCCATGATCCCTTATAGGGAAGCACAACTATTAAATCCACACCTGCAGCTGGAATTTATAGCAACCCCATCTACTGCTGTCTTACATCATAGGCAATTAGGAGCCTGTGAACTCATGGCTGCAGGATATGGGAGGTGCGCTGGAACCAGAGGGCAAAGCCTGCATATTAAAGAACGCACAGTTTAGTCCCCCTTAAAATTCACTATGCCAGTAAATAGCCAAGTTCTACATATAAAAGAGCAACTGATCAATTCTGACTGTTTGCCAAATGAAAGTGTTATCCTCCACTTGGAATTATTGTTTCTTTCCCCTCCTTATACATGTTACAGGAGCCCATATACTGAGTTACCAGAACATGCAATGCCAACATCCACTGCTGCAGAACCAAGTCCAAAGGGTAGAGATGCAGGAGAACAATGTTTATTAAAAAGCCAACCAGCTAACCAGTGACAGCTGAGGGAGAAAGCAGAAAAAAGTCAGTCTGTTCTTCCCCCAATTAAAAAAGGCTTCTACTGATTCATCCTTAAGCTTTACAGTAAGCTAACTGGGTGATTCGGTTTTACCACTCTCCTCTCCTCCCTTCCCCCACGCTCATAGATCAAACCTGGTTTCAAAATCAAAGTCCAAACTCTCAGGCAAAAACATGCTTCTGCGCTTCTTAACACAGTGGGAACAAATCCTGGCACTACTGACAATCATCTTCTAATAAAGTAGCAAAACAATCTCATTAGTCTAGGGCCTAGAGAACAGCTGACTCAACTCAACAGCTGGGCAAAGAAGGAAAAAACAAAAAAAAAAAAGAGGAGAAAGCCCACCACACTGGTCAGGTCATATTTCTGCTGGAACAGTCAACTGAACTGGTTCCCCACGCGATGAGATGAGTACCAGGACACAGGGAAAAAAGGGAGAGGAGGAATTTTGGTCAGGTTTGCTCAGCAGCGTTGCGCAACCGAACACCAGCTGTAGCTTCCTGCCTCCTTCCTTGTGCCAGTGCAAGTATAAGCAGCCACGGAGCCAGAGGAGAGGACCGATCCAGCTCGCCACATGGCCAGAGCAGCGCTAACCAAGGGAAGGAGGCAGGAACACGCCACCAAAGCCACTTCTTTCAGCGGTAGCTGCTCATGAAACCATAGCCTGAGGGTTCAGATTCTCCAGCTCTGCTGCTTCACGCTGGGGCAGCGTGAGGAGCTACCCCCTCCAGCTGAGCTCTGAGTCAAAGACACACCATCTGCTCACCCATGCTGGAGGCAGAAACCTCAGACACAGGATGGATGGACAGTTGGGGGCAGTAATGTCAAACAGCTGCAGTTAAATCTGCCAGAGATCATGAGTCAGAGCCCTAAATCTCCTTCTGCGACTCCTGTGAATCACGGTAATGGCAGCTATTACCAGCATAACCAGTTCAAACACGAGCAGCTTAACTGATAGGAAAGACGTTGAAGTTTCATCACAGGTATCAGGGAGAATTTTCCATCAGGTTAACCTGACTGAACCATGTTTTCACTCGCGCAGACGCATCCTGTGCTCCGACTTTGCTGAACGGGATTTAGTTTTAGATGCTGCCTGTTTTTTACCTTCCACAGCAGGCCCGAGACCCTGGCAGACGCCTTCCCTAAGGCAGAAGGGACGCTGTTACTGCGCGCGCTGGGTGAACTGCACTAAGGCAACCCTTTGCCTTCCAGAGAAACCGAGAAAGAGTTGGCAGGATGTTAACAGGCAAAACGGCATCCAGAGGATGAGGATGTATCAACTGTCTCTCTCTACCCTCAAACTTATATCCTACAGCACACGCCTTAAGTACTTTTATAGAGAAACCATTAAGTCCTAGTTACACGAGGTACTACCGTATGCTGCTGCCAAGGAAGCTTTTAACTGCTCTTCTTTTTAACGCTGCATCACAAAGTAGGAGGAAGGTTTGAGACTCTCCATGGCATGTCAGTCCCCCTTGAGACTTTAATCCAGAGCTCAGGGACACTGGGGCCCTGCAAAAATGACCACCTCTGGGATTAATTCCATCCCAGGTTAGCATCAATCAGATAGCAAGAAAAATAAGAGTAAGAAGCATCACAGCATTAGTCTTCATTTAAACTTGGCAAAGAAAGTGAGCGTTCTCTTTTGCTGGCTTCCATTTTTGTTTTTAAAGCAATCTCAGACTTAGCCAGAGAAAGGTGCCTGGACTTTTTAATATTAGGGGATTAGAATGGACAACACTTACACACTTGCCAGATCCCAGATAAGTGGTGGCTTGCTTAGGTTAAGCAGGCTAGCGTCTGCCTCCTGCAATATATACATTTCCAGAGTGAAAATAAACAGCTTCACACCTTTGGCTGAGAGAAGGACTTCAGTTTTTCTTACGGCCTCAACCTGCAACCTATCCACTTGAGGATGAGGGTCAAAAGGGTGAAGGTCACTAGCACTTCCCTTACTCCAGTCTACAAGAATAAGGCTGAAGACCTGTAGCGTGCTCTTGTGCGCTAGCCTACCGGAGTCCTTGCCACAGCACTTAGGATCGGATATTGCAACGGGGTGTTGTTTCATTCCGTTTTACTAGCTGTTTCAGACAAATTCTGAATATGCCTACGTCCTATATCCACTTACATATAAACAATGTCAAAAATAATAACTAGAAAAAAATGGTAACTTGAATACTAGACCATTTCTTCCCCCCCAAATACTCAGCTCAAAAGCCCGCTGAGAAAAGCATGCCTAGATTTTACTGCTACCACCAAATTTGTTTGAGATTTGTTTCTACCACACAATTTATAGTGCTAGGAGCCTCAAGACACGTGCCACGCAACTGCAGACCCTCTAACCTAAGTGTCCACCATCATCTTTTATCTGGTCCTAAATGCTTCTCTGACTGATTCTTATTGCACAGCAATGTGAAAGGACACCAACAGATGCCTCAGTCTGAATATCTGAATTTAAAAATTGGAGCATTAAGCCTAAAATTCCCACATATTTAGCAAGTTTTGATAAGAACATTTTTTTGATTACATCCGTTGCCAGCTTCCTTCTACACCCTCACAAAGATTTAAAGTATACATTCCTATTTCATTCTGCAACAAAGATTAGTGGCAAGAACAGAAAACATCTTCGGTTCCAAAAAACCCTTAGGGTTTTTTTTCCTTAGCTTGCATTTTATTAGAGGAGACTCCAATCTCCATCAAGCTGTGATACGCTGTCACTGCAAAGTATTTAGGCAACAAGTCTTTGAGTGCTATACCAAAATGCATGTTTTGAAAAGGCTGCTAAGAAACAAAAAGACTTCCTGAAGCTATTGCAAGTATAAACTACTTGCTTGGAAGCAACAGCCGTCAGCAAACTTTATGAAAATCTGGGCCTACGCTTCAGCTTATACGCACGCATAGAAGTGATTCAGACATTTTTGTGAGTTCTTGTCGGGGGAGGAAGAGGTGAGGGGGAAAAAAGAAAAACCACATACTATTGTTTAGTCTGACTCTGCAATACATTTAATCTACATGGAGTTGGAACATTACGCAGCAAACCTCTTCAGCTACCAGAATCATATACATCCAACATGACCAAAACCCAGTCTCCAAATTAAAAGTAGGAAAACACCATTTTAAAGGACTCATCTTGGCCCCGTACAGCACGCGAAAATTCTCCAAAGTACAACTAAAACCTATCATTAACACTCACGAACCCACCGCATCCCCGAGTCGATAAAAATCGACGCAATGCAAGAATATCAACTTTCATGAAACCAAGGAAATTCCAAGTTGATGAGCTTCAGTAACTTGACCTCGATATCAGAGCTTTCGCCAGCACGAAAATAAGACTGCGACAAACCGGGTGTTTTGAGCAGATGGAGGAGCCAGCCAGGTATCTATAACCATAAAATCCTTCAGTCTACCTGAGCCTATCAACAGCATCCATCCTTGATGTGTGCACAGATGTTGAGATGACAGCTTAAGAGGTGCCAAAAATAGTTATTCCGGTATATCCGTATGGATGATAACAGATTTAGCTACATGAATTCTATTGTTAAATTTGCACAACTCACTTCCCAACCTCGTATCCTACTATGCGTGCAATAACAAGGATTATACGTGTGTCACTCAGAAATAAGTCTTCAGGGTGTGGCTCTACAGCAATTCAAATACATTTAAGTCAGTGCGGAGGCAGGCCCACCCTTCCTCCACCCCCACTGCACAGTCCTGCCATTTCCACTGTGCCAGCCAGAACCCAAAAGCGGCTCAGAAGTGGTCAGGGAAAGGGCCCAAAGAAAGAAACCACAGTGGTACCAACTTAGATCAGCTCAAAAGGCTGCGGGTCCACAGAAGCAGCATCAGATGGGCAGTCAGACAGAGCTAGCCCAATACAAGTAAAGCAGCTAAGAAGCCGTCTTCCTAAATTTAACGTTACTACCTCACCGTTCAACCATCCATTGCTATCTCCTTGTCACCATCGAGTTCATCCCTCTAAGCCTCGTTTTCAAGCTTCTATATAAAACTTTTTTCATGGACACAGAGCGCAACATCTTCTGTTGCATCCACATGAGTCACTTCAGCAACAGTATCAGTCCTGGCTTGTCTGGTTTTTTTTATTAGACCATGCTAGGGATTCCATGTGATATTATGTTTAACGCTCATCTGAAAACTGCATAGCTGTGGCTGAAGATGACCCTTTCCCCAGTGACAGTTTACAGTGTGACAAGAAATAGTGCGTATGCCCCTTACACATGACCTTGCTCCTTCAACTGCAAGGCTTCCTACTTGTTCATAAACTTGCTACAAAAACACCCAACTGGCACCATAAAACTAGAGAGTAAACACGTGTTGTCAGATCCTGCTCGCTCGTTTGCGGCGAAGAATCCCTAGGACACTGCTAGCTGCTACAGAAATACTCCATGCAAAGAGAAAACATTAACGCTGATTCTCTGAAGTGTCACAAACACTTTAATGTCTTGCTCCAAGCTGGATTACACTCAGATAGGTCCAACACTTTACTCGTCTACAGCATCACCACACAATCCCATTAAGGAGTTCACAAAAGCCTTCACGCTTTCCCCGCTGTTACTACCACTGTCTTCAGGGATAGCCATGGCTGCCGAGACACCAAAACAGCACGTATTTACTTCTGCGGCAGGCGCTAATGCCAGTAGCGACACTTCTAACTAGCGTAACAAGTACGTGCAGACGGGTGATGTCATGGACAGAGTTGTCTGCAGTCTCTCTCCAACCTGCACCTTTCCAAGGCTTGGCAGAGCATCCGTTTATCTTCTGGTCCGCTTGGAGCCAGAGGTATTTGACACAGGCTGATCCTCATTCCTCCTTCGGTACAGGGGTGTTGGGACATACACAGGTTGTTACACAATTTCAGCAGGCACGCGGAATGAAACGGTGCAGAAAGATGCTTTTCAGTGGAGGAGGCTGGGAGAAGAGGCACACGTGCATTAAACAAATCATCTATTTGGAGCTCTGGC